TAAAGCGAGGATGTTATATATTCTGAAAGGCAGCTGAACAAAACTCCCTTCATTTTCAAGATGCAGCGTTAGTGTTTATGTAGCAAACACCGTTAGTTCAAGCTGATGCTTTAGTACTGACTTCTGTGTTCTAAAATCTTCACAACTTTATTTTATTTTTAATTTTACCTTGTGTAAATTGTGTAATACTGTCATAACATCAGCAGTAGTTTTGGCACTGACCTTATGTTTCCAAGTCAGTAGAAGATACATGATGTTAGATGACATTTATTTATATTTATCTGAACATTCAGTTCATTAAAACAGGCTCATTCGTTTCAAATTTTGTATTTTTAGACATTTTAAGACGACAGCGCTGACGCACTCCTCACAACATCACCTGTGACCATCCCTCCTCCCCCGTGAGAGACAGGATCAATACGCCCAGACCATCCACTGCTGGATGTCACAACAAAAGCAACGTCCTACATTTTATATGACACAAAATGATATCTCCTGCCACTCCGGAGACCAGTGATGAGTTCTGGGCTCCCTGCGGACGCCGCACCCTTGCCAAACGTTTGGAGCATTTAGAATGTGAAGACACCCCTCGGTGTGCGGGGTGAGCTGGCAGAGCTGTGGGGAGCTGAACATGCTTCTACAGAATCACAGAATGTCGGGGATTGGAAGGGACCTCGAAAGATCATCCAGTCCAACCCCCCTGCCAGAGCAGGAACCTAAATGAGATCACACAGGAAGGCGTCCAGGCGGGGTTTGAATGTCTCCAGAGAAGGAGACTCCACACCCTCCCTGGGCAGCCTGTCCCAGTGTGTTTCTTCGCTGTGCCTGGGGATGGACCCGTCCAGCACTGCTGTAAAATTCCACCTGAGAGAAGGGGTTTGCATTCACCTCCTAGGGAACTCCTGCAAAAGGGGACTTCAAATCACAGACACTCTAAGAGAGGAAGGATGAACTTGAAGGAGCAGTGCTGGGTTACCCTGGCCAGGCCAGGCTTGCCGCTAGACGGAGCTGTGGGCCCGCCTAACCGGGGCTGGTACCCGCACCTGGCATCCTCATCCCTCTGCCAGGAGCAGCCCTGGTGCTGTACCGATCAACAGCCTGTCTTCAAAACCTGCTGGTAGAGAAGCAGAATAATAAACTAAATGGTGGTTTATAATCAGAATGAAAAGCTAAATGGTGGTATCTTTAAAATATATGACGTGAGTGAAACTGCTAGCTTGTAACAGTGCTGGAAGAGCCCAAAGTCTTTTAAGTACTGGATCAGATGACTGATTACAAGGTACATTTTTTCATACTGGAGTGTATGAAAGATGCTCTGTGGAAACAACTTAATACATCAGTTTTCACACAGAATCCCAGAATGGCCTGGATTGGAAAAGACCTTCTAAGCTCATTAACCTCACACTGACAAGTCCCTGACTAACCCATGTCCCTCAGCACTATGTCTACACGACTCTTCACTCCCTCCAGGGATGGGGACTCCTTTCTGCCACGTGATGCTCTTGCTGAACACCTCTCACTAATGGAGCTACTCAGGCTTAAGCAACAGAACACTTCCATGAACACATAAGGCAAGAGGGAGCTCTCAGATGTGTGCGGGACACTTGAACCAACATCCATCTCCCTTCTTTGGAGAGGTGGCCTGGCAGGAACGCAGCCCTGGGGATATTTCTGGCTACAGTGTCTGGAAACTCCTTCCAGATGTAGGATACATTATTAAGGCAGTGGAGGGTCAGACCCTAAATCATTTAGGTTGCATAAACAATATGAATTAATATTAATCTTGTCATCACGACAGAGTTTGGCACAAATCAGCGTGACTAGAACATTAAAGATGTCTCAATCTGGATTAAAGACTTAGAAGACTTCTAGCAGGGAGCATTGGTAGGCACTGCTCATGGATGTGGAAGACTGCACAAAGCCTCTCATCTCTTATCAGTCCTTCATCTTTAAACCTAAAGTAGCTGTAACTACTCTTTTAAAGTAAAAAAAAAACAACCCAAAAGTCAACAACCTTAACCAGAGATCATTGGCATGAATGTCTTTGGCCAGGAAAGAGCTACTACAAAGGTGGGAGTGTTGCAGAGGAAATGGAAGGTGCTAAACAACTATTGCAACTGCAGACACTGGAGGGTTGAACTAGGGGTGATTTGGTAACTGGATGGGCCTGTGAGTGACAGAATAAATGAATCCTGGAATAAATACCCCAACAAGTCTGCAAACCAGATCTGTGCTGCGCTGCACCAGGTGTTTTCCGAAATCCTGTGAGCGTGGCTTACTTCAGAGCGAGCCACCCTCACGGCTGCTTCAGGAAAACCAGATCTGTGCTGCGCTGCACCAGGTGTTTTCCGAAATCCTGTGAGCGTGGCTTACTAGCCTGTGAGCACCTTTGATTCCTGCCACCTCATTTTCCTGTCTATCTCGAGGGCTGGAGCAACCAGCCAGCGAGCTGTGCTGAGGAGAAGGCTGGGCATCCCTCAGCAACACTCACTGACCTGCAGAACGTGAGCGGCGGGAGCTCAGCACCAGCTCTGAGCTTTTTGCTCAAGTGGGGTTTGTCTACAATGGTGTGTTCAGAGCTGACCATTGTTCCAGTACCAACTTCTCAAATGCCTGTGAAGGAATAGCAGTGATGTCTCTGCGATACCAGCGTCCCTCTGCTTTAGAGTTTGTGGCTGCTGGTTCTAATTCTCCTTTTCCCTGGGCAGCTGTTTTGACAAACACCCAGGCAGTGTCCTACAGAGAAAAGCCAGGACCACGGACACATCACCTGTGAAGGAGAAAGGAAAGGCGAACTCTCCATGCACCACGAGCTCTGCCTGGAGCAGAGTTTCAGTACTGCTGCTGTAGCATTCTGAGGACATGATTAAGCACTCCCATGAAAATATCACACCAGGTTTTCATTTCACAGTGTTCTGACCTCCAATACCTTTTGAAACTAAAGTAACCGAAGCACTCCTGCAATTATTAACATTTCCCGTTAGCTGCTCAATTTCACTGCAAAGTTAAATTCACTGAATGCACTGCTCAAGAGATTTAAAACATCTGAAACCTTCCATCCTCCAGGGAAGGACCAGCACAGGCTGGGTGCCTGCTGGTTTCAGGGGATGCTGGACACTTCCATACTTCTGCTTTTCACTTTGTTCCTCAAGTCAAGGGGCTCTGCCCAGCGTCTGGGATGAGAAGAGGCTGCTGAAGGACACGTGTACGATTCAAATAGCACTGGTGATAGCAGCAGATCCAATTAAGAGCTGTGATTATCTCCAAACAAACTAAAAGAGGGAAGTTTGTTGGGAAAGAGATAACCTAGGAACAAAAATGAAAAGACTAAGATGGGGATTCCTTCTGGAGCAGCGAGCAGAACTGGTGATCTTTCATTTTTGTCTTGAGAAGCATCACACCTGCTCAGCACAACCACAGCACATCGTGGCGTGGCAGGGACCAGTGAGCCACTTGCCCAGAGAGGACTACAGGTGAGTGATGAGAAAAAGGTGACTTGTAAACTAACTAATATTGTATCTTTACCCAAGAAACAAATTTAGTTAATGTATTACATCCTTGCTTCACCTCAGGACCCACATCCTGACAATGTCCATCACCTTGAAGACAAACGACTTCAGCAGATCATCCATGACCACGTTTTGCAGGGAAGGGAATCCCCAGGATTATTATTATAAGACACAATATGGGTAAGGAAGGCATCCAAAATACTAACCCCTGGCTCTGCTCCTCGAACACGCGCTGCCCTGTCACCCTGAACCAGCCGGTGAAGTTACCAGGTGTAGAGCAAACTCACACTGTCATTGTTTAAACTTACAGCAGTCACAGATTCCAAAAGACAATTAAATACTGAAAGTTAGATCTAAAGGTATTTTTTATCTAGATTTAACACAAGCTTTCATCTCTACAGTGCAATGATGCTGCCTGGCATTTATACATCATACCAAAACCCAGTTCTATAGTGGTCTTCCCCTGCATTAACACTACCAATTAATCTGCAGTGGTACCAGGAAGTCTTTTAATCAGCTTGACTTCCATCTGGGTAGCTCTAAGGAACGCCCCGTTTTGATTAGTTTTCCAAACAGCCACTAACATCATTAATTTTATCTTACATCATTACTTTCTTTACATGCCTATGAAAAGTCCATGCCAAAAAAACTACCGTCAGGGTGAGTCTCGGTGAACGACAGACATTCTTCTAGCAGAACAGAGCTGGTTGTGATATAGAAGGTGTCAGACCTCGTATTTTGCTGAAGTTTAACATTAGTTGGTTTGATTACAATATGGCATCGAAGAAATGAGAGTTTGAGAAGTCAGGAGAGTAATGCACAGACGGAATAAACATGTGGCCTCAGGTAATGCAGTAACTCTACCTAATCACATGCTTGGCGGGGATTTATTTTGGGGGGGAAGGTTAAACAAAGCGAGAGAGCCAGTTCTGTGGTAGCGGGCTAAGAGTCAGCTCCTCTTCCTCCTTCGTATCAACAACAGGCCAATAATCACAATCCTTTTCCTCTACAACCTTATCCCTGCAGATTAAAAAAGAAAAAGAGATGAGAAACACCAGAGCATCGCTCTGAAGAGTCACACCGACGAGTGAAACGCGGCGTCACTCCCATCACTTGCTAAGTAAAGCGGCAGCCCTGCCCTGCCCCTGCCTCTGAATGAACCTCTGGACTATTAGAAATGAGAGGTAAAGGCAGCAAAGGAAAAGTCCACAGAGGATTTGGAAAGACAATTCTGTGCTGGAGGATTACAGTTAGTTTCTAAGGAGCAGCAAGGTCACGGGAGACAGGTAGATGTGAACAAACTTAATTCTTATCGTCACTGGGGATGTTATTTGTTGTATTGCTCCTTTTGTTAAGCAAAGAACAAAGACCAGAGGGATCTGTTCCTTTTGTGTCGAATCCTAAAGGTATTTCCTAGAGCTTTCTACTACGTTTAAAATGTACGAGTTTGGTTTCAGTTCTGAGCGAGGCAGAGAGCCCCCCCCGGTATAATTACTGTTCTTCTGTTTTGCTGCTATTCCTGAACTTCACCACCATCACTGTTATATTATCAGGGCACCCTCTGTAAAAGGACTGTAGAACTATACTCTTGGCACCAAAGTGCGGTTCATCCAAGCGTTCCTTGATGAATCTGACAGCTTCCTCGTTGCTGAACGCATCCCACAGACCATCCGACGCCAAGATCATAAACTCTGGCTGTAGTTTGTCCAGGTCAAAGGTAAGAATATCAGGGTCGGGAATGACAACGTTGAGGTTCTTCAGAGGGTAATCTCCTAACGAGCGGGACATGGCCAGGATCCCCTGCACGCGCCAGGAGCCGTTGAAGCTGATAAAACCACCTGGAGAGAAACACCAACACTTAAAAGCAGTTCTTCGGAAAGTTTAAACCTTTTCTCTAGCTTCCTACCAGACCCACCCCCCCCCAAAAAAACCCCCCAATTCATCCTGCAGTATCCTGAGGTGTACAGATGTTAGAGCCCTCAAAAAGCAGGAGATGCCTTGAGTAAATCTCGGAGCGCTGAAGGGAGGAGCTGGATTGTGGCTGCTTGGTGCTGTTGAAACAGCTGGAGCAGAGAAGTCGGGAGTGGCTCTGCTTTCAAACCAAGCAGCTTCATGCTCTCCTCTCCCCCAGAGAGACACACAGGGATTCCTGTCCCACACCCCTGACTGTTCAGAAAGCCTTGTGGCAAAGTAAAAGCAGAAACAGTGAAAGCAAATCTTTCTATTCTTGTGTTAATAAACCCCCCCTTTTCCTGTGTAGTTCGTGTCTTCCCCATCTCAGAAGATCTATGAGGGCAGCAACACTGAAAACACCCCGTGGCAGGACTCACATCTCACTTTTAAGACATAAAGCAAAGAAGCAAGTGCAAAAACATTTCTAGGCTCTTCTGTCAGACTGGATGAAAAAAAAACTGTTGTAAACAAACCAGTCATGAAATTTGACTTCAACTCAGAAAAACGCAGCGTGGGGTCTGACCGATTGATTTTACCGTAACCCGGTGAAGGCTACTTCTAGTTGAAAATACATTATTTACAAGTTGCTAATAGTGAGATACTTTTTACACCGGAATCAATGACTCTGACACAGCACCTTGGCTGTTACACAGGCTGAGTGTACCCGGGAGGGAACTACACCATGGTCAAGGTCAATGAGTAAAACTGAGGCACCTCCAATCCCTGTGCCGCTGGCTGCACCGTTTCATAGCAAAGTCCTGTCTGAACATGAATGAAAACTCGGCTGAGGACAAATAATTTGCAAGCGTGGAACATTAAAATGCATAACAATATCAGGTGAACTGTTGTTGTTTCTATCCACAAGCTGTCTGCTTCGCTGCTCTTAGAAATGTCTTTGTTCTTGGTAGTTATCAGGATGGTTTCAGCTCTGTGCTTCAGCCCGTGCGTTATTTGTCAGTCACCTACGTCTGAGGATAACATTTCCATTCCCCATTGGCTGATCTCATCTGTAAATTCCTTCTGCTTTCAGGTGAAGCTACATTTCATTTCATGATTCATTGTTGTTTAAAGCTTGCAACATGATCTGTGGTCAAACCAGTAGGAATGGAACTTTTTAGCTGGGTGTTTTCATGGATACTTCTAGGGAGTCTCCATTATGAAGATGTTTTCTTCCATAGTGAAAAAGAGGAAGGACTGGTGACCCTACTGCAACTCTTCCTTAGATATGTCATCAAAGGAACCTTGTCCAGCTGCTGCTGGAGGTTTTGAGGTGCCTCAGTTGAATGTTACGCAGCCCCCTACTCACCAGCCCAGGGTTTATTCGTAAGCAATTAGAACTGGAGTGTAATCAAAGAAAATGCAATTAAGAAGAGGCAGTTTTGAGCAGACATTTTACACACAGTTAGGGACAGCAGTGCCTGTCGTACTCGCAGAGGAGATAGCTGCTGCCATCTCACTGGGCTTCCTCCAGCCTTTGCAGGTCATGCTTACACGTACAAAGTGACTTCTCGGTGCCATTCTCAGGTGGCACCTGGAACAAGTGGAATTCCTGTGCTTTGCTGAAGGCTCTGTTGGCACTTCCCATGTTTTCTTGCAGAAAGCCGTCCATCCAGAATACATCAAAATGCTCCTGGAAAAGCAAACACTCTGCAGCACTTGGCTGTCACTGGAGGAGAAAAGCCATTAAAGAAATAGAAGCTTTTTGGCAACCACACAAATCTCAGAGGATTATGTTCAAGGTGAATGAGTTAAATTTCTACCAGTGACTGTCACCTTGTGGCTCTGCGACTGAGTGTTTCCTCACAAGCCAAACCCACGGTTGTTTCAAGGCCACTGACTTACACTGATACTACAAACATCGCTCCAGCTCCTGCTCAGGAGGAGATTCCTCGTGTTTCCCAGGGAAACCAGCATCCATCCCTGTGTCACAGGACATTCCCTTATCCCACGGGAATGGATCAGAGCAGCGTGACCCTGCACTCATTCAGCTGTGAGCTCAGCAGCACCGCAGCGCTCGCGAGCGTGCATCATCCAGCCTGCTCTGAAAACAACCGTCCCTCTTGGCCCAGAGCCTGGAACCGGCGCTGTTAACCGCACAGCCACGCTGTGGAGCGGGGCATTGCACAGGATTTGACATCTCAGCTCGAAATGGAGAGCTCTGCCCTGTTCCCTGAGCTGCTGCCTTTCCTCCTGGCATTTGGCCATGAGCTTGGGCACCAGAGACCTCTCGCTGCACTGCAGGAACTCCCACGAGAAACCTGAGCGGTGGCTTCAGCGCGAGAGCTGCTCCAGTCCCGTCGGACTGACAAATGGAAACCTGTTCTCAGGCTGTGGGTTGACTTAAGACTTTGTACACAGTTGCTGGGAGCTGGGGAAAGAGAGGGACTGAGTTCATTCCCCATCCACTGACCGCTGGCAGCAGCAGCAGCAGCAGCAGCGAGTCTCCTTGGCATCCACCACGGCAGCCAGAAATGATGGATGAGTTTTTAGTCCTGTCATCCCAGTGTCAACACAATCGCCGCTGAAACACACTGGGCAAGTCAGGCTTTTCTCTTAGCTGCTCTTTTCAAGCTGCCTCCAACTGATTTGTATCAGACTGAGGTTTGAAGGGTATTTTCTCAAGCGTGGCTGTATGGATTTCACTTTTAAATGAAATCTAATCCTACTCAAGCACACGGGAGGTCATTTTATAGCTGCCTATAGGGCACTGGGCATTGATGGGGCAATGTAGAGCTGGAAAACTGAAATATAAATGTGGTTGTTGTTGCATTTTTTCAGTTCTGCATGACAAGAAAGTATCTAGCTGCTGGAAAAAAGGCAGGTACTTCTGTCACAGGAGCAACGCAGGCTTGTTAATTCAGTTTGGACACTTTAATTTTACATTTACTGGAGGTAAAGAAGGGATGTTCCAAAATGTAGAAGTTTCTGGCAGTATTATAAACTGAATTGTATGTTTTTAACAGCATGGTGAGGCCGTATCAGTCATGATAATACAGCGAGGCGACAGGTAATGGAGAAGTTAATTCATTAAGTCACCGGGCTAGCGAGAATATTTCTTGTTGAGCTGCAGAAAGTTGTCACATTTACCTGTCCATTCAAATAATTCCTCCCCAAGTTGGAAATTCCTGCACAAACCCAGGATAATTTCACGTGTTGCTGTGTTATAAAGCCTCACTTCTAGACAAACAAAATAATCAAATTATTTTCTTCTCCTAAGTGAAGGCCTTTGCTAAGTGGACAATTGCCTGGAGGCCCTTGGAGGGAAGCAATTTGACAGCAAAATCTCCAGATTTTATTGATATGTCCCCCAAAATGCAGAGTTGACGCAAAGTGAGACCAAGATTTTCCTGTTCCTTCAGCATCTGTATATTTTTTTCTTCCTATTTGGGAAATGTATACGACCTCAGCTCTCTGTCTGGCAGCAGGAAGGATCCCCACTGCTCTCACCCCTCCGTTTCTGCTGGTGTGAGCGTATTGATAACCTGTAGGTTTTAAAAATGTTTTACACTCAGAGAAAAAAAAACCTTGTTATTTGCACTTTACAGATGAAGACTCGGAGGCAGCGAGGCGACGCGTCTCTGGAGGCAGCGCTCGTCGGTAGGTTTAACACAAACAACAGCAACTTCTTTTCCTTCATCAAATAATTTGCTGCTGCTGCTGCTGCTGTGGGAGCCAAACCAGAAATGGTTCAAAAGAGACTTTGAGGAATTCATGGAGAAGTGACTATTAAACTTGATGATCCAAATGTAACTTCTAGCCCAGGAGGGAGGTCGCTAAACTGACAAGTGATGAGAGCTGGAAAGATTTACTGCAGAAAGGTTTCTGGGTTTTATAGTCTTTCCCTTTACTCCTGCTACAGTTTATATATTTGTGCTCATCAGCAGTCACTAAATGGGACCAAAAAAATATCTTTGATGAATCAGATCCATATTCTGCTGATTTTGGGAACGAAACCTCCCTCAGCTTCAGCCCCAGCCCCTCACATAAAGGCTGCTGATGCGGTGTGGTGTGAAGCAGCCTGTAATGCTGCTGCTCCTGTTTATTACTCTGCTTCCTGCAGAGATCACAAGGGAACTGGTCAGGATGGTCAACTGGCTGTTGAAGATGAAGGCTGCTCTTCTTCCTCCAACATTGGCTCATTAAGGGACAGGTCAGGCTGCTTCCACTTCTCTGTCTGCACCACGACATCCCACTGAAAAGTGCTGTGTTAATAACGGGAGATTTTATACGCTGATGCCTCAGTCTGGTCCTTTTCAGTCCATCTCAGGGGAAAAGTCTGTGTTATTGACAGAGCAGAGACGAAAAAGATGAACCTTCAATCCAAAGCAAAAAAATAAATGTTACAACTCACCAGCTCTTTTAATCCTCTTCCTTTCTTTCAGCTGGTAGGGCTTGTGATCGTGTGACAAGGGGATGGCGTTGCCGTCCTTGTCACACAAGACTCCTCGCGAGTCACCGACGTTGGCCACTGTGAGTTCTTTATCTGACAACAGTGCGATCAAACAAGTTGTACCTGGGAAAAATAGAAGGGAATGAGAAGCTAAACCCATACATACATATATATATATATATATATATCTCTATTAAAAAATGATTAGCAGGAAAATATTCTTCCTAACGGCAGAGATGGGCTGAAGCGGGAGGAGCGTTTCCCAGTCCCTGTCTGAGAGCTGCTTTTCCTAATGGCCAAATAAAAGTAGTAAGAGAAAGTAGGTAAGAAAGGAAATCAGAGAAAAATACAAATCAGCCCCAGAGCCCACTCACAGGTTCTGTGAACTGCAGCTCCTGCTCTGGACTGTGCCTGAGGAGAACAGAGCTCCCTCTCCTCTGCCCTTCTGAGGAGAGACAGCTCCTTCTGACCCCAACTGAGGTCAGGTTTATTATTTTTGTCCATTGAAAAGAGGAAAAGATTTGACATTTTAAATTATTTTAACCTTTAAACACACAGAAAATGTAATTAGTCATGGAGCACCGCATCCAACAGGCGTAGTGTTTGTTGGCTAAGGTGGCAGGAAAATGTTGGGAAAATGGGCTGTTTTTCAAGTGTGAACACTAGAATTTGTATTTTCCACGTGTAACTGATGCAGAGGGGAATGAACTGAGCCACGCAGAGCCCGTTAAGACCATGTCTTTTCTGTATGTTTATAAAAACTCCAGCTATCACAAATATTCCATGAACAGGCTCTGGACCAGATGCCAGAATTTCATTCATATTTTAGAACAGAAAGATGACAAGTGGGTTTTTAGACAGACACTAACAAACATGAAAAGGGAACGTGCCTGGCACTGCCTTTGGATTGCACAGCGCTGTTAAAATTGGGACAGAAGGCAGGAAAGAAAATCAGATAAACCAGAGAGCTGGGCAATCACCAACCACGTGGATCTGAACAAGGGAAGTGCTGGGTTTGGCACCTGGGACACGGCCACCCTGGACA